CATCACAATCATATTACATGTTTTATGTGATATCAGAGTCAAGCTGACCCTCTCAATCCTAACTGTCTTCATCAGATACCATAATTCCACTCGCAAATGAGTATCATGTAGCCAATAAGTATTCGTCAGTCCGAAATACACTGCACTATCAGCATCAATCAACTTACATGATAAACATCTAGCATTCCGTAATGGGACAATGGGGCTGGGTATAACTCTAGCACGGATATCTGTTGTGTTTAATCATAACATGATATCATGTGGGTGGCCTCACTGAAGACTCATTGCCCTCTTTTATCAGCTTCATCCTCTGGCAGGAGCGAAGGCTCAATCAATCTTAACTGCATCCAATGGTTATATGGAGGGATAGATGTGAATGCGCAGGACCGCCATTACCTCGCTATCACTTGGACCCATCTGCTGTGCTGCTGGATGACACCAGCTCACACAGGATGAAGGGGAAAATGATATAATAAAGATGGAGACAGCAGAGAGAGTCTGTAAACACAGCGTATGTCTATCAAGTTACTGACATAATGAGTTGTACATACAGTACGTGTGGTGCTCCCCCAAAAAAGAGAAAAGAAACAGAGTGTGACTATGAGGTAAAACACAAAGATTGACAGAGAAAGAGAAAGTGCACACAGATACACATGTTGTGGATTGATTTCATCAAACAGGCTGGTGGGACACAGCGCTGTTGCCTACAGCTAACTCCCTATATCTTTCTCAAACACCAAGGGAAATCAGTGGGGGCCGGCAGATCTGTGGGTGCCACCAGGGAACTGAGACAGTGTGAAAAGCCAAGATGAAGCAAGATAACATAGACTAGATAGAAAAAATTGTAAATGTGATGCCAGTATGTGTTTGAGTCTACTGTGTAGTGTGTGCACACACAGACACACACAGTTTATGTATCACAAATGTATCTGCATGAGTGTGATTGGAATTTCCTTTTAAATTATTCAACAAGTACAATAGATATTCCAAAACCTGAAATGGGATTTATATTAATCAGACTCAAGTGAGTGAAAAAGAGTGAGAGCTGACCCATTCTATTCTCAGGTGTGAATGAGATCACAGCAAGTTCAAAGATGAATCATCTTATCCAATACCAATACTGTGGAGATACATGACAATGAATTACAAGCACATATTCATAAGGAGCAGAATGCAGTCGAGAGGTGGTGAAAATGTTTGAGTGAAATCCACGAGGTGAGAGACAGAAAGTGAGTAGAAACTTCACATTAAGTAAACCTGCAACTGATTTTTTTTTCTGGACTCTTAACAGTCACATTGAGTGTGTTCGAAATCATAGCCTTCTCCATGCTCAATCAGTATGTACTGCATACTGCGTATTAATTGAATGATTACTGTAAGTATGCCGACTGTTCACATTGAAGTATACCTCTTCTCTGTATACCATGACTGTATCAGTCACAACAAGCGCTGACACAGTGCTGTGGGTCTGGCTATGCGAGACTTATCACATTTAAATATTCTGCTATTCTATTTTTAGGCAAATTATGTAAAGAAAAAGGTAGGGGAATAAGGTAAAGCCTATTGTTTGTGAGTCATGTTTTCATTGGTGTACAATTACCTGAATATAGGAACTGTTTTTGTTACCTTTGAAAAAGTGAATTAGTGTTAACTTAATGCAATACTTTGTGACCCTGATGCTAATTTTAAGTAAAGCAAATAATTTACTGTTCCAATGTCACAAATGCTAGGATAATAGTAACACCAAAACACAAAATAACCAAAACTACTACAGCCTGATGGTTCTCAACATGGGGATCAGGACACACAAGGTCACATAAAAAATAAAAGTTGGACATGTCACAGTAAGTAATGGCAGGTGTAATAATAAAATAAATGATGGCTGGATTCCATTTAACTGCTTCAGTTTCAGGGTCCTGGTATTGTCATGACTTACTTGCACTTGAATAGAACGTAGCAATTGTTGTATCAGTTAACCTGTGCTTTTCTTAATATGACAAGTGAAAATGCCTGCTGTGAAAAAGGTCTGAGAAGGGAACATCAGTTTTATTGAAATGCTCACAACCAGTATATGTAGACGGCAATTAACGAGGGGTCATGGGTAGGGTCACAGGCCATAAAAACTGGTCAAAAGGCTTATTTTCACTGAAATCAGGTTGATTATTTTTCAGAAATCTTTCTAACAAACAGAACAAAACTGATGAGAGTGGACATTTAAACAAAAGAGAACAAAATAATGTTTGCTGAGACAACAAAGGAAGCTTTAATGCTCTTTTCATCACAATGCAACTATTGCAGTGGATAGGTACAGAAGCAGAATGTGATTCTGTGGTTTTCATTCTTTGTACTGCCATTTATTCCAACTCATGTCTAAAATGTGTCTCCTGCAAATACATGCATCTATGTCTATTAAGTTTTAAGGTGATAGTGCAGCGTTCAGCTGCATCTGTTTGACTGAATGCAGCATTGTACTGTACACTGTTCGCCTGCCTATCATTACCGCTACAATGCTCTAAGGTGCTTGGATGCTGGCCTGTCTGTTTGCCTGTGTCTTTTGTTAAAGTTGTCATTTCAAAGAGATGATTCTAAAGATTCTTTAGTTCAAATCACTCCGTGCTCACAGAAAAGCTTTTATGTGTAGTCTGCAGTAGTATTCTTCAAGGCTTTAATACACACTAAAGCTTGTGTCAAACAACATGGTGCTAAAGTCACGATGTGGGCTTGGGCACTTTTTTAAAATCTGATTTGAAAGACTTAACGGCAGTGTGGAAAAGGTATATTTTCGTGTGGCATGTCTTTGAATGTCTCCTTGTTTTATTAAATGGTAAGACTGATGATTGGTTGATGTCTGTCTCGGTCGCTGCTGTAAATATGTGTCAGTCTGGAAGCCTATATTTGTATGCACTGTTGGTCTAATCTTAACATCTAGTATTCCTTACCTTAGTGTTAACCTGTTCTTTCCTTACATTTCTCTAGCCCAATAAACTGTTTGTATATAACCCAAACTCGTAAGGCACTATCAGCATATGGACCACTGTTTACAAACTAATTCATTCCATTGGGCTTAACCTGTTTGCCTGCTTACCTTATCTGCCTCAAACACTACCATCTGCACTATCCTACATGACTGTACCAAAAACATCTCCAGGGGGTCTCCTGTCAAGGCTGTACACATGCTGTGGCTCATTCTTAAATGCCAAAATAAAGATTTGACAATATGGGGAACCGAAAAAGAAAAGACAAATGAACAATTTTAGTTACAGTATTAACAACAAATAAACTACCTGTCTGGCTACATTTCCTCTCAGCTTTAAAAAAAAAAATGTAGTTATGATGTCACTCGCATAGGCATATGTCCTCAAAATGTATCAACTATAAAATATATAAGACCACTTATGCCCACACTACCCAAGACTGCCATCTGTAGATAAAAAAAATATTCATTATTGAGTATGACCATATTTTATTAGAGTTTAGTTGTTATTTTTGATTTCCCATCAACAAAAT